TTTCGACAGAACTTTGCTTAGTTTTACTTTGTTCTTTCCTATTCAACTTTTCCTTGATAACAAGAGAGTATCTTATTTACTTAGTTAAACTTACTTTTTTTTTTTTCTTGTCAACCCTTTCATTTTTCTCTCACTTCAATTAAAGCAAGGAGCAGGCCAAATTTAACAAAAAAATTAACATGACACAACAGAAACATAGTGCCAATAATTTTTATGTGCATATAAACGCCTTTAGTTTATCTTAGTCATTGCTGTTACAGTTTTATGTTTTATACTTTTCTGCTCTTTTAAGTTCTAATACTAATAATTCAGATGTAGTTACAGTGATCCAATTTGTCCCCCTTCCCACAGAGAATAACAGATGAATACATTATATGCCCATCGACTGCATATTGTTCTAAATAAATGTAAATGTAGACACATTGACATCAGAGCTTTCAGTTATAATATGGGTCCCCTAACTGGACATCTTTGGCAAGATCCTGGCAAGCTAGAGGCATAGGAATGCCTATTAATTCTAAATTGATATTAAGATAATTTGTGTAAAACGAGGCTGGTTTAGAATACATATAGCAGTGTTGCTTAGATTGTGTTTGAATGTATTCTGGACTCTTTTATACAGCTCATGAGCTCTTGTTTTTTTTTTTACACTGCTCCGTATCATTAACCCTGTCAGTTCATTTCAGGGGTAAGGGGACCAAACCCACACACACCAAAAACACGTTTTTAACTGATATTTTCAAAAAGTCAAATTTTACCTTCTAATAACTGATGCTTAGCTCTCCAGCATCAGAAATACGGAGAGAGTTTGGGGATGACAGTTGTTAATGTTTTTGTTGTTGTTGTTTTCCCCAAGAGGGCAGCAGCTCCTTCACCTAGACCCCATCATCTGTAGGAGACCCCAGTAGTCTAGCAGGGGCTGACTTCATCCTCAATGCGGAAGAAAATATAATGTGAGCTTGTTACGCATGATACCCTTGGCATCAGGTTATCATATCTCTCAGACAGTAGTCTTCGAATAAATACTTTTTGAATGAATAGGACAGAGTGTTTCTCTCCTATAATACTTACTGGAGAATTAGTAGGATTAGTTAAAGTACATTAGTGTGAATTGAAAGTGTGTTCGGGGGCGCCTGGGTGGCTCAGTTGGTTAAGCGACTGCCTTCGGCTCAGGTCATGATCCTGGAGACCTGGGATCGAGTCCCGCATCGGGCTCCCTGCTCAGCAGGGAGTCTGCTTCTCCCTCTGACCCTCCTCCCTCTCGTGCTCTCTATCTCTCATTCTCTCTCTCTCAAATAAATAAATAAAATCTTAAAAAAAAAAGTGTGTTCGCCTTATGTAAAATTTAATTTTCTACTTCTTTTTTTGAATTGGTACAATTGAAAGCCCTGCTTACTTTACTCATGTGTTAACAGTTAAAATGTTAACTTCAAAAAATGCCAAGATTATCTTTTCCTGTGTGTGATCTTGAAAGGCAGGCCAGCCTTGAGCTTCCTGCTCCATGAGCTTGATTGACTCCTATCTAGTTGGTCCTAGCGGGATTCTTATAGCATAATACGGTCATATAGCTGAGTGCTTATAGATTTAGGTTTGGGGGGCTAAAGGGAAAATGGATCTTTGTTCCAGGGTCCTGAATTACAACTGCTAGTGATACATCACCCAGCAGTGATGATCTTTTTCTCCTTGAAATTGCTCTGGGGGAGTCCAACAGTCCACACGAGGCACAATGTTGTAGAATCTTGAAGGAATAACCCCAGAAGTGGCTACCAGCAAGTTCCCTACAGCAAAGGAAGTCCCTAAATAATTGCTCACTTCAATTAAAGCAAGGAGCAGGCCAAATTTAACAAAAAAATTAACATGACCGACCAAATTAAAAAAACACAAAGAACCAAGGTACCTCTTTGGATGCATCTCACAATTTTGTGTGTGTGTGTTTGTTGAATGAACAGGTTATCCAATCTGCTCAAGAGTGGAAATTACACATTTTTTTTTTCTGATTCAGAGCCAGTTAGAGTAGTATCTTTTAAAATGACAAGTTAGAGGAAAAGTATTGTAGACCCTGTGAAAGAAATTGCATTCACTTTGTGTTAAAAAGCTCTCTTAAGGGGCGCCTGGGTGGCTCAGTCATTAAGTGTCTGCCTTCGGCTCAGGTCACGATCCCAGGGTCCTGGAATCGAGCCCTGCATCAGGCTCCCTGCGGGAAGAAGCGGGAAGCCTGCTTCTTCCTCTCCCACTCCTCCTGCTTGTGCTCTCTCTCTCTGGCTGTCTCTCTGTCAAATAAATAAAATCTTTAAAAAAAAAAATGCTCTCTTAAGTAACAAATTTAGTGTGGGTTATCTGACTGACTCCTATCTAGTTGGTTCTAGCGGGATTCTCATAGCATAATACGGTCATATAGCTGAGTGCTTATAGATTTAGGCTTCTATTAAAACTAAGTTTGTATTTAAGTAGTGAGGAAATCTATAGTGTAAATATCTATAATTGTCTAATTGTGTAAAATCTATATTTGAAAGAAAATTCAGACACTGTGACACTACAATATCTGTGTTAGCTTAACCAATTTGAACATTTATATATGTGTGTATGTGCGTGTGTGTGTGTGTGCACATACATACTATATGTATGTGAATTCTATAGGCAAAGCTTTAGAATAAAAGGAGCACTTAACACTTTTGGGTTAAATCTAAAGCCTTGTCCTTCATTTGTAAAAAATCCTGTTTTGATTGGTATGACTGTCGAGTGTTATTCAAGTTCAGCAGTATTTTATGGCTTTGGAGCCCACATCTGGTATGAAAAGGTAAGCTCCTATCAAAGTGATCCATATCAGACAAGGTGAATAAAATTGTTCTTAGCCACACTAAATCAAACATCTTAAAAAAATGAAAGTACTTTTTAAAGAGGGCCTCATTCTGAGGAGGAATATGATTTTGCAAAGTAGATTTTTCCCTTTTACTCTCAGTATAAGAGAAAAGTGATTCTCCTTTTTTAAAAGCAGTTTTTCTTACTGGAAGACCTTTCCATACCTGTTTTAAGAATGGGTTTGCGGCCTTTTAACCATAACATGTAAATAAAGTTATTTTTAGAAATTGTATGGAATAATAGTGAGGGGGATATCTTTTGAATGAAAAGAGGTATAGTAGTATTAGATATTAATGTGCTTTCTTCACTTATTAAAGTATACACAAATTAGTATCCTCACTCTTTATCCTAAGCTCTCCTGGTGATTTGTAAGCCTGCTAAAATTTGAGAAACCTTCCTCTATTTCATATAAAAAATGTGAACTCCCTTTTTTAAAAAAAGTTGGAGGCCATGAAAAAATTTTAAACCTGGAGATGCTTTGATCAATTTTGTGTGTTAGAAAGAGTCTCTCTTTGAACAGATATTTATCCTTATTGTGTGCCAGGCATTTTGCTAGGAACCTGGGAGAGGATGGTGAATAAAGTACCATAGTCCCTACCCAATGCAGATCACAATATAATGGGGAATACAATAAATAACCATGAATAAATAATTACAAATTATTTATTAGTTACCAAAATCAAGTTCATTCTTTGAGGACTAGATCAACTGCCAACCCCACAGTAGAGATTTCCTTGATAGCCTTATTCCAATTTAAATATTCTTTCGACAGAACTTTGCTTAGTTTTACTTTGTTCTTTCCTATTCAACTTTTCCTTGATAACAAGAGAGTATCTTATTTACTTAGTTAAACTTACTCTTTTTTTTTTTTTTCTTGTCAACCCTTTCATTTTTCTCCATAGACTGCTCAAGGTGGTGGTCATCGGACACTCCTCTATGGACACGCCATATTGCTACGCCATTCCTACAGTGGCATGGTGAGTAGGCATTTTGGTGTCTCTCAGAGGGTCCATTTAGACATATATCATCAGGAAATGTTGGTAATAGCTTTTCTAGTGATGGTATTAATGAGTTCTGTAATTGTATGTGTTCTTTAGTATCTTTGTATTCTGTTTAATTTTCTCATTTATAAAATAAGAGTTAGCTTAGAAGACCTGTAAAGTCCTTCAGTTCTATCATTTGTGACTCCTATTTTTTTTAGTCTCTTTTAATAGACTAGTTTTAGGAGGAAACAGGTGTGAGAGTCAAGAAATATTTCTCATTTCAGATTATTTTTAAACAGTTCATTTATTAGAAAAAATGACTTATTTGATTAGTAAATTAAACAGGTAAGATAAAAAAAGCTATATCCACATGGGTTATCCTTATAGGTATAAATAACCATATACATTTCCATCTATCTAGATATATGTGCACTTCTATATATTTTTATGTTATATAAAATGATACATTTAATATATTATAAAATATATAAAAATGTCATTCTATTTTTTAAAAGCCTTATTAAGTTATAAAAGCAATTCATATTCATTTTATGAAATTTGGAAATTACAGAAGACACAGTTCTTCATGATCATGTTAATGAGAGAAAGTGTGGGGCCTTCTAAAAAATTGTAATCTTCTCTGTTTTTAATTTTTTTTACATAATTGAGATCTTACTAAATAACCAAACTTATGTCCTGATTTTTAAAAATATATTATTGTAGCATAAGCATTTTCCACATTATTTAAATTTTTTATCAGTATAATTTTTGTGAATACATGATGGTCCAACATTTGAAAGTATAATATAATTGATTATTCCTTTCAGGAAGGAGATAGTTCTGATATTATTTAAATCATTCCAGAACAGGTGACTAAGCATAGCCTCAATATCAGTACCCAAAACATATAAAAAATTGTCAATCTTAGTCACAAATACCAGTGTGAACATGTGACTTAAAATTCTGGTTGATAGAATTCAAAAGTATAGGAAGAGAAGTATAGGGAAAGTATAGAGATGATTTTAATGATCCCTTAATAATATCATTTCTATTAATGTGCTTCATCATATAAATAGAATCAAATAAGAAAAATTGTGATCATCTTAATAGGTGCTGAAAAACAATTTAATAAAACTCAACATCCATTTCTAATAAAAACTAAGCATTGATGATTAATTTCTCAGTGATAAATGTGAAATCAGTAACCAACATAAATTTTAATTATCAAACACTATAGTGATTCTTGACAAAACTAACTCAAATAAACAGAAATCAAAATTATCTATTTGACATTGTTCCAGAAATCTTGGCTGACACAGCAAGATAAGAGATAAAATAAGGAATGTACTTTAATAAAGTGGCTGGATACCAGATAAATATATCAATGCAACCTATTTGCATACAGCAATCATGCATTAAAAATACATGGAAGGAATTCTACTTCTAATACCAATCAAAACACAAAAACTGCATTAAATAATAAACATGAGGGTCTGTTTTTAAGAAAACTACTCCCTGTACATAGTGGGTTAGGAGCCTGGACTTGGTCAGTAGATCTGGGTTCAGGCTCATTTTCCTATATGCTGTTCAGCCTTGGACACCATGCTGAACTTCTTTAAACCTGTAATTGCATGTTAACATTTTATTCATTTATTCAATAAATATTATTTAGCACCTACTGTGTGCTAGGCACTGTTCAAGGTGCTGTATATAGTAGTGAAGAAGATCATGTCCTTGTACTCATGGAACTTAATGAACGTTTAGTGGAATAATTATATTACTTACATCATAGTTGCTGTGAACATTATTGGAAGAGAAAATGTATGTTAATAGGTACAGTGCCTAGTACTGTAATATTATTGCAAAATTTCATGGAACACTTAGTATGGTTAGATCTAAAGTCTATAAACCTCAGGTACCACCAAGGGCAGCCTTTCTCAAGGTCAGACTCACACTTCTATACCGGCTAAGAACATGTTTGGGGACCCTAAAAGGATCTTTTCTATAAACTTGGGAGCCAGTGTTTTGCCGTCAAGGGACAGAAATTGGAATCTCCAGGTGAATTTGATTTTATATCCCCGTGGCACTGACTTCCACTTAATATGTCAACACATCTATCCCCTAATTGGTTCATCTCCTAGCTCCTCACACTCATAGACACCCACTGAGATGGGTGGACCAATTTCCCAGTAAGAATTGTCTAGGCTTTGCACTATTTGTCCAGTGACTCTGGGAAATCTGGGCTTGCTCAGTGCCTGCAATTGGCTCTGAGTACTCTTTGCAGGGCTCCTGTTCTTGCTGACGGTGCCCTTGTTTGCTGTAGATGGTAGTGTATCTTGACCTCATGCTACATCCATCCTTGTGTCCTCACTCTTTTTCTTTTTAATGCCTAATTTTATTTATTTTTTATTTTTCAATTAACATATGTATTATTTGTTTCAGGGGTACAGGCCTGTGATTCATCAGTCTTGCACAACACACAGTGCTACATACCCTCCCCGCAACGTCCATCACCCAGCCGCCCCATCCCTCCCACCCTCACCCCCCCCCCACTCCAGCAACCCTCAGTTTTTTTCCTATGATTAAGAGTCTCTTAAGGTTTGTCTCGCTCTCTGGTTTCATCTTGTTTCATTTTTTGCCCTCTTCCCCTATGATCCTCTGCTTTGTTTCTTAAATTCCACGTTTCAGTGAGATCATATGATAATCATCTTTCTCTGATTGACTTATTTCGCTCAGCATAATACCCTCCAGTTCCATTCACATCGCTGCAAATGGCAAGATTTCTTTTTTGATAGCTGGCTGAGTAATATTCCATTGTATATCTATACCACATCTTTTTATCCAGTCATCTGTTGTTGGACGTCTGGGCTCTTTCCACAGCTTGGCTATTGTGGACATTGCTATGAACATTGGGGTGCATGTGCCCCTTCTTTTCACTACATCTGTATCTTTGGGGTAAATACCCAGTTGCTGGGTCTTAGGATAGCTCTATTTTTAGCATCTTGAGGAACCTCCCTACTGTTTTCCAGAGTGGCTGCACCAGCTTGCATTCCCACCAACAGTGTAGGAGGGAGGGTTCCCCTTTCTCCGCATCCTCACCAGCTTGTGTCCTCATTGTTATACCAGTTAACAAGGTTTTGGAGGTTAGAATGGGGTTAAGGGAGTTGGACTGACAAATGATCTGAAACTTTACGTCCAAGAATATACAGTTAGGGAAACTGAAAGAAGATGAGGAGATCTAAGGAGATGATGGTGTTGCAAGAATTGAATTGCTCCTGGGGAAACACACATGTGCACACTTGTGGGACCCTCGCTGCAGTGAAGTGACATGCTGCACACCAAAATAAATTCCGGATGGATTTCAGAGAGTTACAATTTTAAAAATGAAAACAAAGCTAGAAGATAAGAGTGAACAGTTATCCAATTTCTGTTGGGAAAAAGATTTCCAACAGTCGGGTCGGGTTGTACTTCTGCTTATGATCATGAATATCCCGTGAAGTGAGAGATGTACAAACATATCCCCAGTAAGGTGTCATCTTTTACGTCTTTTATCTTCTAGTTTTGTTTTCATTTCCTCGGAACACATTTCCTCAGTCTTTTCATGAGGGGAAAAAAGGAGTGCGTCTCCTTTAGAACATTGCTCCTAATGAATGCCGTGTAAGTGTTTTTCTACCTCCCATGAAGAACTAGGGTTGTGCACTGAAGCATCCAGATGTGAAGAAAAAGACTGACAGAGCAGAGATTTACTGATAGCAAATTATGTGTCAGAATCAGACTCTCACAGGACTAAAAATGTTCAGTGACAACTACTGATTTTATATCTTTTAGTATCTGTGCTGCTTGTCCACCTCCCGGTCTTCAACTGATAAACTGGCCTTTGATGTTGGCTTGCAAGAGGACACAACAGGTGAGCACCTTAGTCCCGGAAGGGGCTGTGTTCCGAGAGAGCATGGCAGGGACGGGACTGGAAGAAGTCATAGGACTCAAAGATAGGTTAGGTAAATGTTCTTATGTGTGGAGTCAGGAAAAAATGAATACCTTCCTAAGGAAAGTTTTTAGTGGAAGGAGGAAGTGTATATTGTTCCTATTGGTTTGTGATTCCCACGTAATTAGCTGGATGTTCAAACTGTACCTCAAGCCTTATTCTTTTTAGGGATTTGGCTAGAAAGACAAAACCTATTACATGCTTTACTGGAAGCTAACCATAGTAGTGTGCACTGATCTGTTCGTGAAATATAACTGCATATCTCTTTTGTCATTTATCTTAAAAATAGTTTGTCTAAAAAATGAAACACACTTAATGTTAGCATTCAAACAAAAAGGTAGAAAATGAAAGTCGGCTTCATTTCTGTGTCCAGAGGGCCACGTATCTGTCTGAATACACGTGCATTTTTACACTTTGAAACAAAATGTATACATAAACACATTTATCCTCTCAGAGAATCAAAATAGGACTTTTCTGTACACTTTATACACCTCTGTACAATGTGATCATCTTTTACAATGAATATGCATTACTTGGGAATTAAAAATAAGTAAAAAGACCAAGTAGAAAAAAAAGGAGGGCAACAGACCAACTCTTATTAAGTAGTTCCTTTCAGAAGTGGGATCAAGCTTTGCCCCCACACCTACCCCTCTTCCTATTTTTAAAATACTTTCCGAGGGGCACCTGGGTGGCTCGGTCAGTTAAGTGTCTGCCTTTGGCTCAGGCTGTGATCCTGGGGTCCTGGGATGGAGCCCCACATCTGCTGCCTGCTCATTGGGGAGTCTGCTTCTCCCTCTCCCTCTGCCCCCCCATCTTGTGCTTTCTCTTGCTTGCTCCCTCTCTCAAATAAATCTCTAAAAAACATACTTTCCCATACTCTAAATTTTTTCACAGACAACAAACATAAAAATAAAGTAATATTCACCAACTTAATTAACTTTTAAGAGACCAGCACATCCCTATGCATGACAAATTCCAGAATCCTAGGCACCAAAAAGTACGGTTTTCTTTGTTTTTGGTTTTTTTTTTTAAAGGTTTTATTTATTTATTTTAGAGGGAGGGAGAGAGGGGAGGAGAGTGGGAGGAGGGGCAGAAGGAGGGGGAGAAGCAGACTACTTGCTGAGCACGGAGCCCCTTGTGGGGCTCATCCCAGGACCCTGAGATCATGACCTGAGCTGAAACCAAGAGTCAGATGCTTAACCGACTGAGCCACCCAGGCGCCTCAAGATAAATACTGTTTTGATTTTTATTTCATTTTATAGAAGCTCAGTCATTCCTCTTTGTTTTTGCTAGTAGTTAAAAATTTTCTCATTTTGGTTGTCAGCAGCAGTTACATGAAAAAGTCTTCAGTTCTCTCTCTCAAAAGGAGTAAAGGACATGCACGATCTATAATTTGTTTTCATACATTGAGATGATTATGTAAGAGTCAAAACAACAAAACAAGGCTGTCCCTCCCCCAAGTCTGATCCCTTTATGCTACAGTTTTCCCCATAGCTTTTTACTTCATCTGAATTGCTGAATTATTAGATTTATTATTTCTTAGGTGCCTGCCTGAATGAGAATTAAACTCAAAAGGCAGATGACTTTTTCTTCCTTGTTTATCGATGTTATCCCCAGCTACTAAAGTAATGATTGACAAATAGTGGTTGCTTTATAAATGTTTGAGTGGATGAATGAAAATTCCCTGCAACTCTAAAAATGTGAATTGAATGAATAATGAATCCTCTAAGGTGACATTCAAGTAAGACTGTGATTTGTCTAAGAAAAGCATCTCAGGGTACATTACATATTGGCTGTATGAATGCTTAAAAAATGTTATTGGATGATTAATTTACCCATTTATGCAAATTGAATTTTTATTTAGTGCCTACAGTATGCTAGTAGGAGCTGGGAAAACCTCAGTGAACAAAATACACAAAATCCCTGCTATTACGGAACTTAAATTCTGACATTGGGGAATTAGGAAGAAAACATAAGTGTTTAGGGAAAAACAATAAAGCTGGTCAAACGGACAAAATAAGTATTAGATAACAGATACCACTGAAATCTATTCTCATTTTCGGATAGAACTTACATTTAGATTCTAAAAGGAACTATAAACAGACTGAAGAATTGTTTGCATAAGTTTATATCTTAGCTAATGGGCCTGGAGAATGATTTGATATGTGGCTCATGAGGCTTATGCCTGACTTGTTCTAGAAGAAATGATTTGATTTAATGTGTACCCAGATATTTTTATAATGTATCCTTCTATAGTAGGGTTCTCTTATATTTTACCCTTAGGTTAGTGGAAACTACCATATTTTAAAATAAAGAATAAAACAAGGCACAGAATAGTAAAATTTCAGTGACTTTGAATCTATTTTTAATCCGTATGCCCCATACATACAGTGTTTTAAAATTGCTATGATACAACTGTCGCATTACCACACCCCAAGTCCTTTTGAAAATCATGTGCTAGAAAACTAGTTGTTAGTACAAAGAGCAATGAACATGTGATTATATAAAGAATGCAGGAAGATCAGCGTGACTGGTAAATTTGGCCTTATGGTAGCATAAATAAATAGCCTTTTAAGCAATTCTTAGTGGAGGGGAGAGACACCAAAGTTTGCAAAATGCCACAATAGGGTTCCATGAAAAGAATCTTTGCATTTCAGTATGTCTTTATCCTGAGTTAATTTGGCCTAAGTCTTTTGATTTTCGTGGTCTGCGAGATGAGCTTGCACTCAGTTTCAAACTTTGGGAAGCTGTGTGGGAAAGACCATTTTATTTATTTATCAGGAGACTGATTTGGAAACCTTATTCCAGCGCCTTTTGGAGGCGCTGGCCAAGAAAATCGATTTTACAGTAAGAGGTGCCTCTTTGTGTTCATCCTGCAGGGGAGGCTTGTTGGTGGACCATTCACCCGGCCTCTAAGCAGCGATCGGAAGGAGAAAAGGTTCGAGTTGGAGATGACCTCATCTTGGTCAGTGTATCCTCTGAGAGGTACCTGGTAAGTGGGCCCATGCTGTCGTTATGTTTAGCGATAGGACCCAGCACAGCCCAATCCAGCTTTCTCTGTAGATTGCAAATCATCTAGGGAAATTGCTTAGAAATAAGTCCCTATCTCTCTCTGATGAGTGACAACTCCCTAAGATGGGGAATAATGAGACCTTTGTGGTAGCGTGGTTTTCCAGGTTTATCCAAGGCTTCCCGGGTACCCTTAGTTTGTGTGTTTGTGATCCTGACAGCACCTGTTCTTAGATTGTTGTATCAACGGCATGTAAATGTGGTCTAATCAGGATTTCAAAATTCCATGGACCTTATTTTGTGGCCATGGAAGAAGGCTGTCTTAATGAGGTTGTGAGACCAATTTTGACACTTAGGAAAGCAAGTCATTATATGAGAAACTCAGGCCATGTTGAGAAAGGAGAACTAGACAAAATGAAAACCAGCTCCAGTCTCTCAACCACACAGCGTTGTTTCAGAGGGCCGGGGTTAGAAGGGGGAGAAGGAAGAAAGTTGAGGTGTCATCTTTGAAGGTGTATTTTATTTTTGTGGTGAGGCCATGATATATTTGATTTCACTTATTTAGTAAACTGTATTTTTGCTAAAGAATAATCATATATCAAAGTTCAAAGAAAGATGCCAGTGCAAAATATTCTTGTTATTTAAGGATGAAAAAGTAATTAGACAAACAGGAGCGCTTGGTTGGCTCAGCCTGTAGAGCGTGCGACTCTTGCTCTTGGGGTCGTGAGTTCAAGCCCCACTTTGGGTGTAAAGATTACTTAAATCTTTTATTTTTTTAAAAAAGATTTTATTTATTTATTTGACAGAGAGAGAAGAGAGCACAAGCAGGGGGAGCGGCAGGCAGAGGGAGAGGGAGAAGCAGACTCCCTGCTGAGCATGGAGCCCAATGTGGGGCTTGATCCCAGGACACTGGGATCATGACCTGAGCCGAAGGCAGATGCTTAACCGACTGAGCCACCCAGGTGCCCCGAGATTACTTAAATCTTTTTTAAAAAAAGAGAAAGTAAACAGATATAAATAGGGGTATTATAAACTTTACATGATTATTACTATAAAAAAATCCAGCCATCATAGTGGATGATGATTGAAATAAAAATCAGAAGTAAAACATTGTTTCAGTTAAGCACACACTGATTTATAGAAAGTGTATTCCAGCTGCCATAAATCAAAATATTATTTGTGTGTCATGGATTTAGGATTAAGTAGGTGGTTGGTATCCCTCGCTCTATGAACATGGAGTTAGAGTGGGTTTGGGGGTATTGGAAGTCAGTTTTTGCTTCCCAACCCATTCAGTTCCAATTTTGCGAGAACGGTTTTGTTTTACTTGCTTTGTGCAAAGAGGGAATAATGAAGCCAGGGAAATGATGGAACAGCGTTCGTGTAACTGACAGGGAGTATTAAATTAAATGGAACATCTAATATTGCCTTGCTAAGGGGAGGTCTGGATCATTTCTCTCCTTTTGTCTCTTAACCGATGCAGGTGGAAACAGGCACCATCCACATTTCTAGGGCAATACAAGTGTGTCAGCTTGTCAAAGAAGCATTTATGAAGCCCTTGCTGTGTGCATATGCTGTGTATTCAGGCGCTGTATGTCTTGATCAGGAGATAGACATTTTGAGTTGTAGTTTTACATGGAAACCAATAGCAGCTAAAAATAATCCGTGCATGCTTTTAAAGATCTACAGATCTTATTTTGATTTTGGCATAATGGTGCATGTTTTTTTGCTGTACGACTTGTACTTCCCAGTGAAGGAGTAGAAAACTTGCAATCTTGCAGGGGCCGCGGCTTCTCGCATCAATTCTGCCACCACATGTCTGAGAGAGGGGTGTAATTCCCTGGATTCTGGCTTTCTCATTTGCAAAATGGTGATGATTATACTTAACACAAAGTTCCTGGGATGAAGCAATGAGATAATGAATTTGAATATGGTTTGATTGAAAAAGCACTATACAAATAAGAGCAATAATCCTAATGCATGAGGTTCACCTTCTCTTGCCTTTAGAAATCAATAAATGTCATGATTAATGAAATTCACAAATTCAAGCTACATTTTAGCCCATTTATGCAAGTTCCTTTTCTGGTAACCTTTTAGAGAGCTACACACGGTGGCCAACCAGACTGTTAAGATTTCCCTTTCATCGGACGAAGTCAGTGCTTTTAGAATTCATCTCTGAACGGCTAGCTTGTCGTAGAAACCATAGGAAGGACCAAGGGCATGTTGTGCATGGTTTCTTCCATCAAAAACTTGGTGGAAGGAATGAACCAAACACCTAGGGAACTGTATGAGAATATTACAAGGCAGTAAGTACGTGTTACCATTTAGGTTATTGGTATGGGATATAATTATTATCTCACGTTGCACTGTAGTTGATTAGAAGAATCTAGAGAAAGCGCATACGGGCAAGAAGTGAGGGAGTAAAAGGTCTTTGGAATATGGCAGTTGGAATAATCCCCATACTGAAACTGGATACCTAAAAATGGGCTCTGTGTGTCTATATATTTGTTAGTTGGTGTAGGGCCTGGTAAGTATGAGCCTGGGCCAATCACGTAACATCGCAAAACCCTCAGTTTCTTCATCTGCAGTAAAGTGATGATAAACCTAGCTCACAGGGGTGTTAAGAGGATTAAATGCTTTGATCCAAGCAAGACTCATGGCTCTGTGAATGGTACATGTAGGAATTGCTTATGAGTTGCTACCACTGTTTACCTGGGAGGTTTGTATTCATTGAGAATGGTTAAGGAAACTGCAGATAATTAACCAGAAGAAAAAGTTGGGACAGGAGCAGTGAAGGGAGTAGGATAGTTGATTTTAAATAAAGGCTTAGCATGGAAAGTCAGGTTCACATTCTTGGCTGAACACACAGTAGTTAAAACTAACTGCTCTAAATAAACATTTCTAGTCATTGATTTTGTAACTTGTAGTCGTGTCTATTGACCTTAGATCTGTTTTTTGTCCACTAACAGTGATGGTTAAGCTGAGGTTAAACTATCGAAATGTGCATTTGGTGCTCTACAATAGCTCATAACTGTTGGGGTGCTGAACGGGTTAAATTGGACTATAAGGGACTGATTTTCACCCTGTGCTCTGCAGAGGTGCCTCATGGACAGAAGAGGGCGCTGTGTCGGGGAGCCCCAGGCCCCATCTTCCCCTGCATTACACATTGGACCTCTATACATGATTTCCCAGGAATAAAGGGTCTTATCTCTAGAAACGGTTGTAAACCACTCATCCAAATTCTGTCTTTTCTCATCTGGCCGTTTCATATTTTAATATGGAATGATATCTTAATCCCCTTTTCAGGAATGTCCAAGAGGGGGAAAAAAATTCCTTTGCTCCTATCGGAACTACTTATTTTTTCTTTTCAAGAAGACTTGGGCAAAGCAGCTTAAATATAAGAGAAATAAACAATTTAAAATACAGAAAACATGGCCAAGTAGGTATTGCTGACTGTTGAATCTATTTCAAACTAAACAAAATAAGGTAAAGCAAACAAAACAATTTTTACTGGTTTAGAAAGATGTAAAATCACGTTGGTATGCACAGAAGTCTTCAATCTGTGGTTTGGATTGCTTGCATTGGAAACACTGATTTTTGACTAATTTTTTCTTAATTAGGTCACCTATAGAAATAGACAGGTTTTGTGTGTGTTTTTTTTTTTTAAGATCCATGAAAACATTGCCAAACAAACAAATGTCTAAAAGTAATTGGGAAGAGCGGAACCCCACAATCTAAAGAGTGATGACACATGCTTAAAGAAGACTCTTCTGGCCTTCCTAAGAATTTCCCTACCTCTCCCCTACCCATCTCTGGTACTAGGTGTTTTGATGGCAGAATAAGTTGCTGACTGCCTCAAGTTGCATAAAAATATCGATAACTAAAAAGGATTGCAATCATAAATATTTCCAAGCTAATTATGGTTATCAACCAGTGCATTATTTATTTATTTACTGTGAACCTTTTTCTTTTTTTCTGTCTGTGGCTCAGGTGATGGAAGCATAGAATATTACATGTGGAAAGAGTGTCTGTTCTGTGCCCCTCATTTTTCTCAGAAGAAAACAAATGAAGCCAGCGGGGTTCTATGTCTCCCTTACTTGTGTTCCCTATCACTGGATGATAATTTATCCAGAATGTTGCTCACCGGGGCCTAAGTGCCTGACACTTAGAGAAATAGATGCATCTGATAAGGGTTGAATTCAGATGTTCTTAAAAATTTTTGTGCCATAGACCCCTTTGGTAACCTGAGAAAGCTTATTGACTGCTTGTGATCATAAGGTTTTAAAATGCTTAAAATATATGCATAGGGTTACAAAGAAAACTAAAAGTTACCAAAGTGGAGTTCTGGTTATTTTAGAATATCCTCTCTGTTTCTGAGATTTTGTGCTTCTGTCCTATAACGTCCTGTTACTCAAAACACCGTTCTGGGGCCAGCAGCCTTGGTTGCCACCCCCTCCCCCGCACTTCCTGAGTTCAGATGTGCATTTTTTGACAAGATCCTCACCTGATGATTCCTGTGGGTATTAGGTCTTGAGAGTCACTAACAGAAACGTCAAGGTGACCTTTGCTGGTGGGTTGATGCTACCATAGTATGTAAATTCTAGAGTAGTTACATGTTTCAGCCTAAGGCCCACTTTTCTTTCAACCTCGGCAACATCTGTTTTGCTTTAAGGACAGCTCATCTTTGTTTTAGTAATTGAACTTGTTACCGCATTCTGAATATTTAATGCGACAGGCCTGACTTGATGTTGTTCTTCCTCAGATTTCCTTTTGCTGTTTAAGCAGCAAAATTAATTAGAAGCCTCCAAAACACTTATGCCTAGAGAATATTTTCTTGAGAAGAGTGAGCGTTATCTAGATAAGTTTATACAGTGTAGTATCTGAAGAACATTTTTTGGGCTTTCTCTGGCAGACTGAAATTTTCATATTTTTATGATCCTCTCATACGTATTATTTATCTTTTGGCTTAGATAGGATTTGAAAATTGTGTCTTAACCCACCTCCCCACCCCCATTATTTTCCCACAGCAATGACTGCTTATTGTCTGAAGTATAAGGCCCTTGCACCTGACTTCTCTGTGGATCCATCTCTCACTGTATTCCTAAGCATATGCTCTAAGCCCCACAGGTGAAACTCTCTGCTGTACTTGATGTTCCCATATCTCTGCCCCTTTGGGGACCCTCTACTCTTTGTCATAGCATTCCCGTTAACAGAGCCTCTTGGAGGGCTAAGGAGGTCCAGGCCACTTCCCATTACGATGTTTCTGGTATATTAAAAATGAAAATCTCCAAACTGGTTTACAAAATGTAAGTTGTCTCGTAAAAATTTTGGCGTGTTTTAAACATTTCTGCTTAGCACGTTAACATTATTACTATACATACCCAATGTATGTATAGTAATAACCCATGAATACAATGTATGTATATACTCACTTGGGGACAACATCTCTAAATACAGAAATGCGACGCCCAGACCACACAGTGCTACTGACTCCTGAAAGCCCTCATCCCACGGGAAATACCTTCTGTTTTGTGCAGATGCCACCTGTCCTCATGGTTCCATGTAATGAACTCTGTTCCAGTTAGGTTGGCTAAAATGTTCTTTTTCTCCATTCCTGTAGCACTTTGATTACATTTCACCTAACATTTAAAAAAAATGCTGACCTGTAGCATTTTGTGTATATATTTTACCTTCCCCTCCATATGACAAGCACCCTCAGGGTAGAGAGTGTGTTCTATTAATATTTAACACGGGCCTTCACACATAGCATATTCAGTGGGACCTGATGAGTTAACAAATGATGGTAACCTATCTATCATAATGTGGCATGAGCTTTCACTCAAATTCAGAAGTAAAAATATAAGCATTGGTATTCTGAATCGTCTTCTCATGGTTTGGGAAAATTCATATGGATGTGCGTGTGTGTGCGCGCACGCATGCCATTATTTTGACTCAGGTCATTGAAATAGGAATATTCATGGAATAACTTCAGAAATTTTGGGGGTTTAAACTACTTTGATTTTAAAGGTTTGGTTGGCTTCTCCCACATACTTGCTTAGTGAACAATGCTGCTCGATGTGAGGTATACAGTCATGAACCATGTCTAATAGCTTATGAGGTGGAGAAAGAAAAATACACAGAACAATTACATCGTTTGATGATTGTTCTGAAAGAACATATATTTTTCTTGGTTGTGGAAGCAGAGCACATGCAATTTATTTGTAAATACTTAAAGACTTTTAATATTGGGGAAGAAATTGAATAACCAAATTTCAGCTGGGATTTTCTGTCAGCGGGACAGCCTGAGGTGAAGAGGTTGGAAACAGGCACATCTCCTTGAGATGAGGAGGGGGTCAGGATGAGTGATGGCCAAATCTGTTGCATCAACTGGTAAACTTTTAATTTTATTGATTGGAAAGGTTATTGATAAGAGGACTGTATAGGTATCAAATGTCAAAACTTCCTTTGGTTTTGTTCCTAAGAGAAAGATAGCAAAATACCTATTTTTGCTAATGACTTGAGAATGGTATGTTTAGGTAAGAGAACATTAGGGTCTGAATGACCCATGGAGCATAGCGATGTGATTGTGATTGCTCTTCATCTAACTAGGAGGGTCAGATTTCTGGGGGGAAATCTAATATAGTTAAAGACTTTAAAAGCTTAGACTGTCCTCAGATTTGGAGAAGTGTTGCAGAAACATTACAGGAATATTGGTGATGTTTACTGAGATGACTCTAAGGAAAAAGTGGTTGTTCTATGTCTATTTGAAATTCTAGAGGCAGCCAAGTAGTGATTAGTCAAATGAGCAACACATTTGGCTGTGCTCATAATTTTGTTTTTCTTTACTAATCATTTGGTAACTCATATATGATAGTGCTCAAAGATAGGAAATATATTATTTTAGTACATTTCTATTTTTGAGAAGGAAAATCTGAAATTTGTAGTATCTGAATTTTGGAGGAATTTTATTGCCCCGGTTTTAGATGCGTATTAGGAAACATTGCCACCTAATGGCTATTATACCAAATTGCAGAGAAAAGTTCCCAGAGGACCCTATAAAAACCAAGTAGATTTTACTTACCTCACCATCAAAAAAAACTGTTGCAGTGTGATCTGTAGAACACTTAATTACAATTTTAATGATAAGTGCCCACTATCTGAACAGTTTTGTCCATCAATAAACCTTAAACGAAAGTAGTCTGTTTTAACACATGTATTTATTTTTGTAGTCTTGTTTGTGTGTTTTCTGATGAGTGGCTTAGAATGAAGCTGAAAAATTCAAACAAACTCTCATTTTCCTTCTAGTCTCTTGATGACTTAGTGACAGGATTGAAACAGATGTTCTCAGTGGACATTTCCAAAGCGTTAAGTTCCAACTGCCAGGAGCGCTTAGGTAGTGAGACTTTCAAAGCGCCTGAAGAGATGCCTCCTTTTTCCTCTCCCACAGCACCTGTCTTATGGCAACGGCAGCTTACACGTGGATGCTGCCTTCCAGCAGACTCTCTGGAGCGTGGCCCCCATCAGCTCAGGAAGCGAAGCCGCCCAAGGTAAAAACTCCACTTCCAGGAGAGGGCTCGTCCTAGATGCACAGTTGACAGCCATCTCTGGAATTGTGATAATGCGCAGATTGGTAATTAGAGCATTCTGTGTCAGTATTCTGGAATGCAGATATGTGACATTTAAGAATCTTGTTCAAATCACTATTTAAAATTGAATTTTGTGTGAAGATTGATCTTTTTTTATTTTTATTCTTATGCTTCTGTAGGTTTTGCTTATTTGTGTGTGGTTTATAGGTGAGCTTTCTAGATGTTATTTGCTCCAATGTTTTGGCCTCAGGGTGTTGCTCAGTTAGGCTAACATCGAGGTTTTTCATCTTCCGTGGTTGGGTGACTTAGAGCCAGATCACACGGTGTTCATGCATCAGGATTTCTCAGGAAATGTCTGCATTTATGTTCTGATTATTCTCACTTATACAGGTTCAAATCTGAACCTATCCATGTTTGTATGTTAAAGGGAGGATTTTACGGGGTTTGAGGTCGTGTTTTTTAGTGGGGACATCACTACCTGTGGGACTTGGGAAACTTGAGCTCAGAGTTGGCAGGCAGGTGGCACCATTCGTCTCTATGATTTTGGCCAGGTACTGAAGCCTCACTAAACGTTTGTTTCTCTATGAAAACAGAAGATCAGACCAGATGATCTGTCCGGCTATCAGCATCTGACCATGACCGTTCAAATGTGACTGAATTTCAATCCTTACAGGGTATCTAATTGGTGGTGACGTCCTCAGGTTGCTGCATGGACACATGGATGAATGCCTCACTGTCCCTTCGGGAGAACACGGGGAAGAGCAGAGGAGGTTGGTACCAAGGCCTGCACCTTGAGCCTTGCATTTCCTTGCCTTGATATAATTGTTGAAATTAAGGATATGTCTGTTTAGGCCATCCGCATAATAGAAAGTGGGCCACTAACACTCCTCTGACAACTGAAGGGATCCATGTGTTGGCCTCTTTAGAAATTTTCTCTTATGTTCTGTTTTTATGACCTCTTGATAGAATTGCTGGAAATTTTTGTAAAAATAAAACAAGGTCAGAACTATTGATTAAAACATACAGAGTGGAAGGAGTGAACACATTAAACTACTTAAAACTTCCTTAAATGTTCATTAATTTTGATTAATTTTTCTTTCTGGCATATTTAGGCTGAAATTCAGTTTTAAAGTCAGAGTTCTCAAATGGCACAGAAGTTTGGGATCTTTTTCTATTACCTCCCACTTAAATACATACGTAATAAAATTGACCACTCTCCCTAATATTTGATGTGATTATATTACCTCTCTCACATTAATATTTGTTGGCATTGGGTGGAGACTGAAGTCCTCTGAATCGCTGGGAAAAGTGCACAAATAGTGCAAAGCCATAAGATATTTAGGATGATTTGAATGTTCTGCTTTGATGAATTAATGGGTGAATAGTGAGTTGAACACACAAGTAAGAGATTACTGTGAGAGAAGGCATTGTCTGGATGGTTTATTACAGGTTTTTAATTCTTTTAATGGACATTGCTCACAATATTAACATAGAGAGGTAACTATTATACATATTTTTATAACTTGGAGAACATTCAGAGAGTTAATACTCAATTAACTAGCTGTTTAATCTTGGGAAAAGTCCCTTGGAGACGTGGGTGTTAGTCGTGCCTCTCTGACCAGGCAGGACCTGGCTTGTAATGAAGGGTGAAACACAGGGCCTGGAAAATTCTGTCAACAAAAAATGCTGCTTATGCTAGGTTAGGAAGAAGATGTTGATGGTGTTGATAGGGTTTGTATAAAAGATGAGGGGGATTCACGAGGCAGTTGGTTTGAGGAATTAATTCCAATCAGAAGAATAAAGATAAGACTCAAGGGGATGACAGTTTTCCCACAGTGACCAGGGGAAGGATGGAATCAGAGGTGGAAACTAGACAAGAGAGACCAGTGTGGTCAGCTTTTGAAGGATCCTTGGTGCCATTCCCACAGGCTGGCTTTTACTCTGAAGTAGTTAGGAAGGAGGGTGGCATGGGGGTGAAGTGGTCAGATCTCTTGTAAAGAAATCGATAGGTCTGATGGGTGGGAGGAGCTTGGGTCAAAGATGAGGAGAGTCCAAATCAGGGAAATCAACGAGGACAGGGCTGTTTTTAGGTATTCATGTGAGAGGGAGGGAGAAACTTGACCTGGAGAGTGGCCATGAGAATGGAGAAGTTTACCTGGACCAGAGACATTTTAGGTCACATTGACTGGTTTAGGGATGAACTACTGTGGACTATGAGGGCATGTATCTGATCCAGGGTGTCCTGATATTTCTGACTCGAGCGAAGAGAGATGGTGCTAAGGATCGTATGAGACATGCATATTTCATACTAACGATTGAGTTAAAGTTTGGACAGTGGTGAGTACAGGGGCTCTGTGGGACAATCCTGCAGGAAATTAGAATTTTTGAGTCACTTACTTAGGCGAAGCTTGCCTTGGATGTAGATCCCAAGCCCCAGGGGAGAGTTGAAGGAATGGGAGTCCTAGGTAGGGAGGGCAAAGCTGGGATTAGGGGGATGTGTTTGTCAGTTTGGACATTGCTTTAAAAAGTCTGTAAAACCTTGAACTAGACTAATGAGAGAGGAGGCCAAGGGTGGAATCCCAGAGAATGTTGACATTTGGGATGTGAATGGGAAAAGAAGCTTTGGCATGATGGTTGAGTGGAGAACCAGAAAAGTTAGTCATGGAAGCCAAAGGAGGTTTGCGGGACAGATGTGTTAAATGCTGTGTTATGTTTATATAGACATAGGAGCAAAAAGAGGTTGTGTTGTAGTCTTTGGGGTCTTTATTCCTTGATTTGTTTGTTAAATGAAACCCTTAAATGATTCTTAGGGACTTTTTAAAAAAAGATTTTATTTATTAGAGAGAGAGAGACAGAGCATAAGCAGGGGGAGTGGGAAAGGGAGAAGCAGGCTCCCCACTGAGCAGAGAGCCCAACACGGGGCTCAATCCCAGGACCCCAGGTCATGACCTGAGCCGAAGGCAGATGCTTAACCACTAAGCCACCCAGGTGCCCCTCTTAGAGACTTTCTATTCTTTCTACAGACAGTTGAGAGAGTTGTAGTTAAAAGAAATGGTCTCTGGAGCTAGACAGCCTGGGTTTAGGCCTCTGCTCTGCCACTTCGTAGTTGTCGGACTCGTGGAGTGACTGAATTTCTTGAACCGTTGCTTTGCTCCTCTGTAAGATGCAGCTTAAACATTAGCTGCTGCTCTTTGGGATTGTTGTGAAGATTCAGGAAGAAAAGGCAGGTAGAATACTTGACGCATATTAAGAGATCAACAGATTTTGTTGTCAATGGCATTATTATTTAGGCAGAAGAGCAGCATTTAGTCAGGGAAAAATTTGAGGGACCCCAGGCATGTGCATGAAAGCTTAATAGAGCATTGACTTTGGAGGAAGAGAGTCTAAACTCTAGCAAACAAAATTCTCTTTTCTTTGAATTGAATGGAGTAGGTGTGGGGTGAGGAAGGGCTCCTGATTCTTGCTAAGGTTCGGAAGCCAGGAATGGATGAGCATAGTTTTCGTTGTAACAGCTGAATGTTTTCATTCTTAAATGAAATTTAAGTGTCTGATAGACCCCGGATTTCCTCAGCTAAGCTCCCTGGCAATGAGTACTGTTTTGCATATCTCCTGGACTTTAGAGAACCTGTAGGTTCAGTAGGTGATTTCCTTACAGAGTGGATTTTTCTCCTGATTCTGTAGGTAGTTGGTTATTACTGCAGAGAAGACTAGGGGCCATTTCAAAGGTATTTTCCTGTTGTTCTGGACCCACTTTCCCACTGCACACAGGTTAAAGTCCTTTCTCATATCATTCTTGATTTAATGTTGTTAATTTCTGTATCAATCTCAGTATGCAGTTTGCATCACCGCTTTTTCTAGGGAGTGATGTCAGCAAGAACACTTCCATTTGTGCCCTTCATACAGCATGTTTACATGGATGAAATTAGATTTAAATAGATGTCAGATCATGACTCGAGGGAGAAAATGAGTCAGAAATATGCAGCAGGAGCCCAGGGGGTGTTGTTTCCGAAAGGAGAGTTACATTTGCCTTCATTAAATTAAATGGTGAGATTGGGCATTGATTTGCATGAAATGATAAAAATAATTTCTTCAATTTCACATTCACCGAGCACTCTGTTATTTCAAGTCTTGTTAAAATCATGGTGTAGAAATTTCTTTATCTCTGTCTGCTTTTTTTTTTTTTAATTTTATTATGTTACATTAATCACCATATCTCTGTCTGCTCTTATCTGGAGTCATTTTGGTGCCTTAGGTGACTCGGGGAGGCAAAGGGCAGCTCAGCCTGAAGGCAGAAGTTCTTTAATTGATATGAATCCATACTGGGGAAGAAAAACAGCAGGATAACCTAGGATCATATATATCTTGATTCATTTAAAAAAAAAAAAAGTGAAAATAATTTGACCTTTGGACAGCGACTTGAAAGCTGGAGAAGTTCCAGGGAAATACCAAACATTTCTTTTACCTCACAGCCCTTTGCTGTCCTTTTGATCTGCTTATGCTCATTAATTGTGTCCTATTATTAAAAGTAAAAGAACTAAGGTCAAACCAGATTTGTTATAGGAAGCAGTGGAAATGGGGAGATGGCCAGAAGTAACTGTTACTTCCGAGTAAGTTAGGAACATTTTGGTCCTAAATGCTCTGTTCCTGACTGGCTTGGTCAATCCGTCCATGCCTCATTCCAATGACATGACTGTAATCGTAGCATTTGAAAATGAGTTCGGGGCTGGGTTCCATAACTCTAGAGACCAATGGAGTTATCTTTAATTTCCTCTTCACGTTTAAATTTGTACGTGGAAGTGATTACTTATACATTCTCATGGAAGGATTAATAAAAACTCTTAGAACGAAGAACATACAGTGTCCCATTCAATTAAGTGGAATTGAGTGGGTGAATGAGGCCCTACCCAAGTTAAGTAATTTTACAATTTTCTCCACTCTTCTTGCTTTCTCCACTCTTCTTACATTTCTGGATTGCATTCTAACATTTCTTGTGAAATTCAGCAGCACTATAGATTTATTTTAAATTTCTTGAGATTTTTTTTTGTCCAGGAAAAGCGGTGGCCCTATAAAATCACTTACGGTATAAAGCTTGTCTTAATAACAGTAAACATATAATCTATAGGGGTCGTGAGCATTTGGGTAAAAGGGAGAGATACTTTGAGCATTAGCTTAAATTGTAATTTCTTAGTTCTTACTCAAGCTCTGCGGATAGTGAGAATACATTAAGGAGAAACAGGGACTTGTCAGATGCAACATAGTGTTTTAATTATTGACTTAAAAATAAGCTTTCATTCTGGAGGCTGGAAATTTGATTACCAATTTTCATTTGGAGCATGAAATTATTTTGTATAGGGAGTATTTTCTGCCCTAGATTCTGTCTCTGGATTGCATCTTATTACTTCTGTCCATTTTTATGTGAAGCGTAATAAAATACAAACAAAGGCATTTCCTTTATGTGCACACACACTTACTTTTGCATTAAATATGCACTATCTGAATTAAGTATGCTATACTTTTAAATTAGTGTATTTTATTTTTATTTTTTTTATAATTTTTTTTATTATGTTAGTCACCATACAGTACATCATTGGTTTTTGATGTAGTGTTCCGTGATTCATTGTTTGCATGTAACACCCAGTGCTCCATGCAGTACGTGCCCTCCTTAATACCCATCACTGGACTAACCCATTCCCCTCCCCCCCTCCCCTCTAAAACTCTCAGTTTGATTTCCAGAGTCCATGGTCTCTCATGGTTAGTCTCTCCCTCTGAT